GTGGCTTGTGTTCTACTCATATATGAAAGCGTCTTTAAGCCTATTGGCCAAAGTCTTTATGAATGATATAGTGATGGAACACATTTTTGTTGTGATTGAAGTGTTGAAATAGGTTCATCTGAGTCCTTCCTACACCGTGGGCAGCTCCCAACGTTAATCGTTCAGTCAACTGGTCATGCTCTACATGTGTTTATCAATGGACAGCTGTCAGGTACATTGATATGAACAAGGCTTTGTTTGATCATGCAAATTTGTGCTTGAAACTCATAATCATCGACGAAGAATCATTTTTTAATGCAGGTTCTGCATTTGGTACCAGGCAGAACAGGAGATTCACATTCAGAGGAAAGGTCAACCTCCAAGCTGGAACCAATAAAATCTCATTGCTCAGCGTGGCTGTTGGCCTGCCGGTTTGTCCAATTTCTCATTCTATCACATTAAATGCTTGGTTTAGTGTTAATGGTGTTTAATAAATGTTTTATAACACATGTTTTTCATTTCTATATGTTTTTGAAGAATGTTGGAGGGCATTTTGAGACATGGAACACTGGAATTCTAGGTCCCGTTGCACTTCATGGACTTGATCAGGGAAAATGGGACTTGACATGGGCAAAATGGACCTATCAGGTTTTAATCTTTGCATATCCAATGTTCCAAGTAGTTTCTGGTTCCCAAAGGGACCCTTATTATTCTTGTGATCTTTGTAACAGGTGGGACTTAAGGGAGAGTACACGAATCTCATGTATACCAATGGTATATCACCAGTTGACTGGATGCAGGGTTCGCTGATCACACAGAAACAGCAGCCCTTGACATGGCATAAGGTATGAATGCATTAGATAAAATGGAGAAGTTATTATCAATGGAGACTTTGTTTTAAGAGAGCAGATCAATATTATCTTGCAGGCTAATTTTTATGCACCCAATGGAAATGAACCTTTAGCTTTGGACATGAGCAGCATGGGAAAAGGTCAAATATGGATTAATGGTCAGAGTCTCGGTAGGTATTGGACCGCTTATGCGAATGGGAATTGCCACGGATGCTCTTACGCGGGACCCTTCAAGCCTCAAAAGTGCCAACTTGGTTGCGGCCAACCAACTCAAAGATGGTAAGATTCAACAAGAAATTCTCTTTATCCAAACAAAGCATTATCTTTTTGTTTGTTTCTTTGTTTGTTTGTTTGAGAATCATGAAAAGATATGATCTTTGGTTCCAGGTACCATGTGCCCAGGTCATGGTTGAAACCAGCAGAAAATCTGCTGGTTGTTTTTGAAGAACTTGGGGGAGACCCGACAAGAATCTCTCTCGTGAAGAGATCAGTGTCAACTGTGTGTGCTGATGTTGCCGAAATTCATCCGAGCATCAAGAATTGGGAGATCCAAAGCTATGGTGGGCCCAACAACCAACCCAAACCGAAACTCCACCTCCATTGTGGTCCGAATCAATCCATTTCCTCCATAAAGTTTGCAAGCTTTGGAACTCCATTGGGCACCTGTGGGAGTTTCCAGCAAGGACCATGCCATGCTCTTAGCTCTTACTCCGTCATACAAAAGGTGTGTAATTAAATAATTAATTGTCGACCACCATAGAGCCCGTTTGTTAAGGCTCAAAACCAAACGGTCTTTTAATAAGGAACAACTAAAGCCAACCAAATGGGCTCTTAATAAGGAACAACTAAAGCCGGCCAAATGGACTCTTAATAATGTCACTCTTATTGTATTGTGTCTAAAATGTTGCAGAGGTGTATTGGAAAAAGAAGATGTTCGGTAGCAATATCAAATACTAACTTTGGAGATCCATGCCCAAATATAGTGAAGCGGTTGTCGGTGGAAGCAGTCTGTGCCCCATCCCAATGGCATTGACGGTAAGGGGTAAAATAGTCCACGAGCGACAGAATTAAACACTGAATGACAGGGGCCATTGTAGAAAAAGGAGAATAATTAGCAAGTTATTATTATTATTATTGATTGCTTTAAGGGTGTGTGTGAAAGGTAGGTTAGTGTTTAATTTGGAGGTGCCAAAGGGGGCCTTCAAGGTGAGTCCATATATAAATTCTTTTATGGTATCCAAAATTGAGTTCCGATTGCGTTGACCGGTTCATATCCGTTTTAAACTGGAGATGAGTTGCATTGAGTCATCACAGTGATAGATTGTAAACTATGGCTTACATGGTGGTTCCCATTTGCTCTGTTTTCGGGTTTTCGTTCATTTGTGCAGTTTGCTGAAATGGAAATATGCATTTGTTTCTCCCCTTTGATCCTCATAGTATCAAGTTTGCAATTGCTTCTTGTGTAGCTGTGTTGCAGATTATTAATGCTTTTTATATGATTTTAATGTCCATTTTTTATGAATTTAGCTATTGGAGAAAATTAATGTTTTTTATATGATTTTAATGTCCATTTGTGATGCATTATGTATAGAAGGGAGCATTTTATTAATCAAAAGCCTCTATTAAGAGGCAATCAAACTAAACATCAGTTACATCAGCAAGAATGGTGGACAATACAAATACTCCAAAGGGTATATAGTATATGATCTAAGAATAATAATAATAATAAGAATGAGCATTATTCATGAACTTGGAAAAAGAAGCATTCTTGAAGGTGTGCTTGGCAAGGAGTTTCTGCAACTCATCTTTCTTGGCTCCAACTAAACTGCCCAAAATCTTCCCTTCTTTTAGGAACATAAATGTTGGCATTCCCTCTATGCCCCAATCACTTGCCACTGTCTGCTTGCATAAACAAGGCAAATTTATTTATCAAAGAATAAACTTGACCAAAAAGTCAACTGACAATGAGATTCGAACTCAGGACTTCTATGGGTCAACAAAGACTCTGAAGAAACAAATTTTCGGTCAAAAGTTCTAACTTGAAAGAAACCTTACGTGCAATTCATCCACGTCAACCTTGAGGAAGATGACGTCGGGGGTGGTTCTAGCCAGCTCGGAGAAGACGGGACCCATCGTTCGACATGGACTGCACCATGTTGCTGTGAAGTCCACCACCATCTGCAACCCACCATATTTTATTATTTTTAGAATCTAGGCTTTAATGTATAGTTTTTTTCTTTTTAAAAAAAGGGCAAAAAAAAAGATTTTTAGGAGGAAAAATTACCAGTTTTTTCTCTTGTATTCCCTTGCAGAGTTCTTCGTTCCACGCCGTAACGGTGTGGCAGCTGATGACTTTTCCCTCTCTTGCCATTTCTTTAAAAATTTGTTTGTGATGATTTCTAACTAAAGTTTCTCACAGAAACTTCTGAGTTTTATATAATCCTCAGGCAGCTATATATATAAATATGGGTTGATGCTTTTGGTACATCATATCAAGAAGTTAAGCTGTACACAACTTTTATATATGTTGCAAGCTGGAGAACATTTGATTGAATTGGATTGTTATACTATTATATATTCTTCTTCCACTTAATTAATTACCGTTCTTAGGAATAGTTATTGATTAGCATCTGATTAACGTGCTCCCAAATCTGACGCAGAGACGGTAGATGCAACATTTTTAAAAGTTCAAGGACAAATGGTGCAATTTCTAAAGTTCGGAAAGAATCCGTGCAATTTTTGAAGAATTCAGGGATATAGTGTAAAATACGAGCATGAGTTTCGATTTTTCCCAGGAATCACTGTCCCACTTTAGCTTTCTAAGAGGACTTTCTGTTTTACAATTTACAAGTTGGCACCTTTGAAGTGTAGGGCAGCCAGAATTCAATTCTTTCAGAATATATATATTGTCTGTCAAGCATTAAAGCGATTGAATTATGTACTCATTTACTCCGTAATTTGGTTCCATAATTTAGTTCCATGTCAATATTTAATCAGTCTCAATGATTCGGACTCGTATCGGATAGAAAAGACTCAAAGCGTCTTCAAGCTCCAGAAATTGGGGAGGAGAAGCAGAAGAAATCACGTAGGCTTTGGCGGACGACGAAATGGAGATGAGAAGAGAGACGCTGCGGCGGAGCCGTGCGGTGAAAGACGAGAAGGGAGTTTTAGTGTTTTGATTCATTGATT